ACAGTAAATAATTAGTAATTTTTTGTTTTTATAGTATCAAAGAGGACTTCTGATCCATTGCAGCAAGTTAATAAATGCTGATAATTTTTATTTAGGATAGGAAAACTATATATTAAAATTACATAAGCTCTGCCTTTCATTTGTATTACCAGGAATGCACTACATAGTGATGTCTATTTTTTTCATAATCTTATTTTGAATGTCAATTTTATTAAAACTTCCCTTAGTGTTTGTGCTAGACACAAGGCCAGGTTGAATATTCTGGTGGATTAATAATTTAAGATGTTTATTCAGATTTAATCTGCAAAGACTTGAGAAACAACTCAATTGCAATAGGATCACAGGTGAGATCACAGTGATGGTGGTGGGGATGTAGCTCTGGCCAGAACCACGAGACATTGCGCCACTGCGTCTCAAAGTCCAACAGTTGTGAGATTGAAGTATAGGTTATGATTATGCAGTGCTAGAATCTGGATATAGGCAGCCTCAGAAATATGCAAGAAAATACATTCAGATGTGGAATTTTTTTCATTTGACATGATAGAGAGAGGTGTCTCTAACAATATCTGTGACTTGTTATTTTATGCACTGTTAAATTTTTTTCCACATAGACTTAGTTCACCAGGTAACAACATCCAAATCTTAATGTCTGCCCCTACCCATCACGATGGTTAACTGGGTTTGTGTATCACTTTATGGCACATTCATTATTAATTTTATTTCTCAATTTACTTCTTTCCTTAGTTATGTTTAATGGGAAACAACATATCATAATAATGATTTTTGATCTTATTTCAGTAAAGTTTTGTGTTTTTTGGAATAGAACCCTCTAATCTCAGTTAAAGACAACCCATGGATTTGCTAAATATTTAGGCAAAACTTCTTCCAAGAACAGTTTCTTACATAGTAAACATTCTCTTACATTTCTAAATCAAAGCAAGAGATTCAGAACTGAATTCCTGATTTCTTTTGGCTACCTGTTCAGAAATGATGAGGTGAGGAATCTTTCTTCCAGGGAAAGGACATATGTTTTAAAGATATTGCCATAATGGTGCTTTTGTATGGGTAAAATCCCAGAATATTTCCTGCAAGAGACAATGTTCCAGCAGCATCACAGGTTTTCTGTGTTTTACTGATAAATAGGGAATATTTCCATGCAACTTGATTTAGAGATTAAGAAAATATTTAGGAAAGCTTAAAAGATTTTTTGAGAAAAAATGAAAACAAAGCTTTTATGGATGAAGAGGAGAGAGGTTGAAAGGAGGATGGGGCAATGGAGAAAATAAAAGAATGAAGTTATTTCATGTAAGAGTTCAAATTCCCTGTAATGAATGTGATCATTATGTATACCTAAAATCTACCAGAAAACTCAATATTTTAAACAATTTCCTTTTGAGTACATCACTTGAAAAGTTAGAGATGCTTGGTAATCCTGTTGTACTCAGAGGTTTCTCTGAGACTGATTCATTTGTTTCTCAACTCTTTGCAGATTAAACCTGAATAAAGGCCAGTTGAAAACCTGTCTCTGTGTCCTTAGTGATCCACCTAATACTAATCTAATCCTTGGCCCATCTGGGGCTCAGGAATGTGTGCAAGACCTGATAGAAGAGGGTGCTGGCAAGCCTGGCATGTTGGTACACACCTATGGTCCTCAAACCCTAGGAAGCTGAGGAGAAGGATCACATGTTCAGTTGCAACATGATCACAGGTGAGAGTTTGGCCTGGGCAATTACTGATTTAGCAAGACAGTCTTTAAAAAAAAAAAAAAAAGGTGATGGTGGTGGGGATATTGCTCTGGCCAGAACCATGAGACACTGTGCCGCTGAGTTCATAAAAAAATAGGACTCCACCACGCCTTTGCCTCCTGTGCCTCCCTCTGCTGCATTCAGAGGTGGTACAAGTGTAGCTACTGAGAGAGCAACACAGTGCCTCCTGCAGACCAAGCCAGACACCTGCCTCCTCCAGAGTACAAGGCAGAGAACAAAGGCTAACTAAGCAAAATCAACAATGTATTAGAAAGAAACAAGGGTAATGATATTTCTTCAGGCACCAGTACTGTTTCATACAAAAGGAGCCTCCAGGTGGCTGAAGGTCAACAGACTTATATTCTAGTGGCCAGCCCTGAATCATGTCAAAGATGTAGCAAAGTGACTCTCACGTTGCAGTGTACCTAAGAATCACTGCAAGGCTTGTTAAAGAACTATAGTAGTCTCAATCAGAGCATTCTGAATTCGCCTAAAAATTTTCCCTGAAACATAGACTTAAAAGCACGTATCCCCCCACACTTATGTTGTTTTCCTTGTATTAAAGATGTAGTTATAAAATCATTAAAGGTCTACATTCTAAACAAGGAGATTAGGTTTATTCCGTAGGCACAAAAAATTGCAGAAAGCTTTTGAGCTGAGTTGATTAGTTTGCTTTTGGTGGCAGATGAGTAGACAGGAGAGAAATGTCACTGAAAAGTGATACAACACTTTTAGCTAAAGGAATAGTATGTGTAATGGGCCAACAAACAAAATCAGCGAAGTTGCAGTTTCTATTCGGGATCTAGCAACTTGTCAGTTATAGTTCCTCTGTGCCAAGTGTGAGGCATGCAGTGAACAGCATTAGCTATCATGGGCTAAAATATTCTTAGGAGACACAGACAATAAATAAGTCAGATGCTTCAGCAGAGTATTTCAAATACAGACTTCTGGATGCTGTAAAGAGATAAAACAAAACGAAATGACATGATCCTTACTAGGTGATTCTTTAGAGAAAGCAACAAAAAATTAGGAAATAAAGGTTTCAGGCGAAGGTAAGTATTGGTGTGTGTGTGTGTGTGTGTGTGTGTGTGTGTGTGTGTATTCCACAGAAAGAAATTTGTGCTAAACAAATAGGCTTGTTTGCTAAAATACTAGGAACAGAGATACAAAGATAACATGTTGAACTATGAGACTGAAGGTTAAACATGTGACTGAATATGTGATACATTATATGCCATAAAATGCACCCAGATTGTCATAGTTATGAAATCATAAAAGTACAGAACAGAGATTATGAGCACCTTTTAAGCTGAGTTGGAGAATGGAATTTATGAGAATAAGAATTAGAAAGAAGCAAGGAATAATAGTAGGTTGTAGCAATAATGAAGGTGAAATTATTAGAGTTGGTTGCAGAAGACAGTCAAGAGAATATACTGATAAACTGGGTTATACATTACAAATAGCTGACATTTACTGGATTTTTGTCATATTGTAGATAGTATTTTAGTCAGTTTTGTGCAGCTGTAACAAAATAGAGATTGGGTAATTATAATGAAACAAAAAGCTATTTCTCATAGATATAGAGGCTGGTAATACCAAGCAGCTGATGGCTAAGAGAGAGAAAGAGGCAGAATTATGCCTGAAAAGGGAGTTATTCTATATAATGAGTGCTGGAAAAAGTGGTTACCAAGGTGGTTGAATGGATGACAAATCCAAAGCATCAGGACACAATTCAGTCTTCTTCCTTAAAAAGGCTAAAAATCAATTCCTTGTTGCTTCTTATGGTTTATTTCTCAATCTTGTAAGATCCAGTCAATTCAGGGCCTTAGACCTGAGAACTGCGTTTTCCTCAGAATGGGGCTTTCTTCTCTTCTGCGCTATAAAATATGCAGAGGTGACCAACTCAAGAATATATAGATTCACTAATACCACTCAGCAAAGGGTGACAAAATGAACTTATGCAAGTTGTTCTCTAGCATTGTTAGGTCTGCCCTTGCTCTACAACTGTATCCTTCATTTCTGGGGTTCTCTGTCTCTGCTCTAAACACAGGATGCCAGGCTGACAGGAAAGCATGGGCAAGCCTCAGAGCAAAAATAAAGCCAATGAAATGCTTTATGTCCATGTCTATTTTTAAACAGATTCTTTTCAAAGGACTTTTTGATCTATCTATTAACAACTCCTCTCCAAAGAGAAGAGTGCTGTGAAATACCCAAGCCAACAGCACTTCAGACATAAGGGCAAACGTATCCTTTGATTATTAATGTGTAATGAACTCGATTCTGTTCTTCCCACACAGCAGCACAGTGCAAGAGGTAACAGGAAAAGGATCAATCATCAGCTTCCCTTAAAAGAGATGGCAGGTCAAGGCAGGGGCTACAATATCAGCTGAGAAAACTTTTGCATGGTAAACTGCTACATCCAAGTGAAGGATACATCGTTTTTAGGAACAAAGTTACTTTTCTTGTGGAACAGGCACGCAGTGATTGTTCAGCTTCTGTAAAGCCCTTCTGCCTGTGATCAACCAAGCTTTGCTTCTTCCAATTCAGTCTTGTGTGATACTTGCAACACCTTAAATGGTAGGAAGAGACAAGGTAAATTTCAGATATGACAGTGACTGTTAATCATAGCTGCTATGAAATCAGTCACAAAAGTCAGGAAGTGTTGACTCTGGCTCACAAAGTTGTCCTGCCATGTCATTATAATCATGGAATATGTATATGTATATATATATATATATATATATATATATGTATGTATTTGTAAAAGCCTTAGCTTCATGATGTTAATCTAGGTATTTAAGGCTAAATATAACTAAAGCTTTAACGAACCAAATACGACTCATCAAAATGTGGACTTAATTCCTTATAATGTAGTTGAAGATGCTAGATTACATATAGCAATGGCAGCATAGAACACCTGCTTCCGAAAGGTTATCATTAGCGAAGTTTACAATGTTTGTGACCCTCAAAATAACAAAATCTACCAAACGTGAGCATTAAACACTAAGTTTACCTTACTTCTAAGCTTGCTTAGGTGGCATACTAAAACCGCCTGGGGGCGTAGGCGCCATATCCGCGCTGTACCGCCGGCGGGGTTTTGTAACCCAAACAACCCTCCGTGCAAACTTTCCGAAATACACTGCCATCTTGTAAGTAGTTTGTCAAGCGTTCCGCCCTTTAGTGTGAAACAAGTGGTTGGTCCTGAAAAGGACCGTTTTTTAAAGTCTGTTAAGAGAAAATCCAGCCGATAGACTTAGCCGCCAAAGCCGTAGAGCGTGCGTCCCTGGCGCTTGAGCGCGTAGACCACGTCCATGGCGGTGACCGTCTTGCGCTTGGCGTGCTCCGTGTAGGTGACGGCGTCGCGGATCACGTTCTCCAGGAAGACCTTGAGTACGCCGCGGGTCTCCTCATAGATGAGGCCAGAAATGCGCTTGACACCACCGCGGCGGGCCAGGCGGCGGATGGCGGGCTTGGTGATGCCCTGGATGTTGTCGCGCAAAACCTTGCGGTGGCGCTTGGCGCCTCCTTTGCCAAGACCTTTACCTCCTTTGCCACGACCAGACATCTTGAAAGATCAGTGTGGAGAGAATAACAATGCTTGTACTGCCCCGAGAGAAATCTTTTATAATACTGTGTCGGACCTGATTGAAAACTTCAAGTGCAGGGGGCGGGAAATGTACTTCCCGCCCTTCTGCGCATTTTTTTTCTATTCAGACTGCAGGAGAGAGGAAGGAGCTAGAGAAAATAGCAGAGCCAGAGTCAGCCACTGCAGGAGAGAGGAGGAGCCAGAGAAAATAGCAGAGCTTGAGTCAGCCACTAAAGTTTGTGATAATCCTTAGGAAAAGATGAGGCGATGTGGGCTGACCTTTTGTCATGGCTCATGACTCTCAATCATCTCTTTTAAATTAGTGGAAAATTTTTTCTGTATGTACGGTGATGAAGCCGTTGCACGTATTACTTTAACACCTATCTTTTCTTTTCTTTCTTTTTGAAAGTCAGGGTCTGCCCAAGTTGGCCTTGAATTTATATGTGGCTTGGTCTGACCTTGAGCTAGTGGTGATATCCTGTTTTAGCCTCCAAAGTGTTGGGATTGCAAGGGTGAGATATCACTCCTGGACCAGGCTATTTGTGATACACATTTTAACTTCTTAAGGTTTTGGGAAAATTTTCTTAGATCGTCCTTTGTTAGGAATTTTATACAAATCTGAAACAAATGAGTGTCTTGTAGAAAAAAATGAATACTTTCAATTAAAGAGGACAGTAATGCCTGGTAAAATTGTCTTTGAGAGTGGGAAAATGCTAAAATTTATTGAGCAATTACATCACCAGTGTGGGCCTAACATTTATTTTCTCTTTAATGCTTTTCTATCTGTTAATATAGTCTTGCATTCTGAAACTATCTTCTGTTCCATAGTAATCTCCAAATGTTTGTATTTGTAAATGTTATTGAAGAAGTCAATGAAAATTCTCTTGATTACTATTAATCTAATCTCTCAGCTTTCTCAATTTTCGTTACCATCTCTACATCCCAAAAGCAATTTCTCTTCAGATCTTCCTGTCTAGTAAAATAATAGTTTAGGACCATTTGTGGCCTTACAATGTGGACTTGTTACAGACAGGAAAACATTAGCTATAGCTGAACAGTTCATATGTGTAAAATTAAGTTTTTCAATAAAGTTTATAAATCTGAAGGCACTGTATTTGCTTTTGCTAAGTTAGTTACCAGCTTGAATAAAATATACACTCAACTTGGAATATTAAGATAATCAAAGGCAAGAAATTTTACATCGATATTGTTTATATTGATTACATTTTGAAATGATAATATTTTTACATTTGAGGTTAAGTAGAACAAGTTGCTGTATGTTTTTTAGTTTTGAAAATACTGTTTCTGGAGATTTCAAATTTGTATACATGGCTTTCACTCTTTTATCCCTTTGCATTGTATTGCATTTTAAAAATTTATCAGGATTCTTCTTTTAAATTCTTCACGTCTTATTCTTTACATAATCTTGACAGCATAAGCTTTGCAAAATAACAAACATTCAGTGGCTCTCTAAGGAATTTAGAAGTCAATGGAGGCTGCTTTAGAGGGCCTGAGAAACTGGACTTGCGGAAGACTAATGGGTAACTCAAGCACAACCAATCTTGGCGTCTGTGTCTTCATTTCATAAATATTTAACTCATTATTAAAAACTTTGAGTCAAGTCTTTGCTTACTTCTCTATGCAATCATAAGAATCACTATATGTATATTTTTATAAAACCTTTTATAAAAAGTTTATTATATAAATTCATTTATATAAATTATATAAATTCATTTATATCATCCCTGTTCAGGAGTGAGATAAGATTCACAGGAGCTCTTAACTGCCAATTTTTGCAAAGTCTTGTTCTGTGGAGCAACACCTAGAAATCTTCAATTACTGTCCTAAACTTACAATGTACCTTGTAGGATTCTATGAAATGTAGAATCTTGTGGAACATCCTAAGATGAGGTCACATAAGTTGTCAGTTCACAAAGTCATAAAGTCTGCTCTGGAACAACCTAGAAGAACCAGACCTGAGGTTGTGATGAACCAGGCCACTACTTGACTAGGATTACCTGTGTTGAAAGCTATATACACTTCATAATGATGCAAACTTCTTAACTCTCCCTTTTACGCTCTTTTCATGTAAAACCTCATGGTTTCTGTCAAACATTAAAATACCAACAGTGATTGTCTTTATTTGTCCTTCCTAGAAATATCAAACTGATGAACACTTCTCCTGGCATTCACTAGGTCCTGTCACATAGAATTCAGGTGCTGGTCCTGTCACATGTAGTTCATCTACTTGAATGACATTTTGCCAGTAATGGTAAGGCATGGTTTCACAGATCTCTTAGAGCTGGGATTTTCCCCTTTAAACTGTGGCACCAGTTTGACTCAACACAGAATGAAGGATTGCATAAAAACCAGTCATACTAGAAACAAAGGGAGGCTTGTCAAGCTCATCATTAATCAAGGTGAAAAAAGTGGACAGTTAGAAAACCTATTTAAATTTTTCAGATGCATTCAGCAGATAGCTAGAACTTGATACTTTATGCACATTTTTTCCTCTAAAAGTGTATTTTTAAGGGAAAGCATCAAAAACTGGTTTTTAAACTCATTCGTATGCTCCCAAATTTAAGCATTATACAAAACGATGTATATAGATTATTAAACTAATCTTGCAATCTATAAAAAAAAAGTTATGTATTTCTTGATGAATTAGTAAGGTAAGTACATAAAAATTTACAATATGACAATTCACAGACTTTGAATGTAGAGGTGGATTATTTAATTATTTTTCTAGTGACTGAGGATTCAGAGTATGAGTTAAATTCTCTAGTTGCAAGCAATGCAAACGGCAGTTTAATTTTAGATCTGTTGTCTTCATTGGACAACTTACTACTGATAAAAGTACCAAACTTTGTTAAATTTCCTAAGTATTCTCTTTTCTTCTTATAGTCATTCACAAATTTTCTATTCATTGGAACAGCTGTAACTACAAAGACTGATGGCCTGTCATTGACTAATTTTTTTTTTTTTTTTTTTTTTTTTTGGTCTTTTTCCTTTTTATTGGTACCGGGGATTGAACTCAGGACTCCCTGCTTGCAAGGCAGGCGCTTATGCAGCTGAGCTAAATCCCCAGCCCCCAACTATGTTTTTGACAAATTCAGTAATCCATCCAAATTGTTCTTTGTGAAATTGTCTGCCAAATACATAATTTAAATGGCCTGTCAGTCTATCAGAAATTTTCATTCATTAATTGAGGTCAGTTTATTTTCTCATTTATTTATTTTTTGGTTTCTTTCTTTCTTTTCTTTTTTTTTTTTTTTTTTTTTTTTTTTTTTGATGCAGTGTCTTAATATATACTGCAGCGTAGCTTTGTAGTGGTTTTTGTAGTTAGACTGTCCTGGAAGTCAGGGTGTTCTTCCTTCCTCAGGTTTCACAGTCATGGTATTGTTTCCGTGATTCACTACACCCTACAAGTCTAACTCTCGGTACCTATTAATTTTGTTATTTTTAAGTCATTACTTCATTGTTGTTAGAGTATTCTGGTGCAATAGAAAAGCAAAAAGTACAAACAAATAGGTTTATTGAGGACATAAAAAGGAGCAAACAACCCATGGTGGTTAGGCTGTCTCCTTTGACAGGATAGAGAGGCAGAGGGTTGTATGACCTCTGATTGAAGTCGTGCATGAGGCCGATATTGATGGTGCTTGAGGAACCAAATTGGAATTCTCTGCATGTGCAAACAGGAAGGGAGCTGCAATAGGGCTGAAGAAGTACGAAGTGGTATGTGTTCCTGCTTTGGCCTTCCACCATGTTAGACCACTGCCAGAATTGTACAGTAATTTATACCAGGGCAAGAACCTTTCAACTGTTTTAAAATAATTGGTTTAAAGAGATGTCATATTATTTGTAGCTAAAAAGATACGTACTGGGCCTGTCACATATTTTCTGTCTGGGGAACATTAGTCCCGTATGTCATATCAGCATCAGTGGTAAGCAGCTGTTGGTGGGATAGAAAATACAAATGAAAAAGTTGATTGCCAGCATTCGCTATCAGACCTAAGGGGAGGATAGTGGTCTTCAGGAAAGAGCTCTGAACACTTTTTAGAGGTATGCAAATTGAAAAATGGAGGTAAAGGAATGGACTACACTCTTTCATTCTTGTAAGTTGGCATAGTCTAAACCTGCCAAAGTTTCCTAAGAGTGTTTTAGGGGAATCTACTTCTGTTTGAATATCAGGGCTCCTTATCTCAGGAGGTTAATAATTACAATGATTTGTGTACATTCCACATTGCAATAATTTGTGTCCAATAGAAAACAATTCAAAAGTTACAACTGTGTAAGACAATAACAATTTTGATTATGAGTTTCCTTTGTTTCTCAAATCTTCCTTGAACCATGTATATTCTTGTTAATCTCCTGTGTTCCTTTGAAGCAGGATTGTCTTCTTGATATATCTATACTAATGAGTTCTGCAGTATAGGGATATTTGACTGAAATATTTTAGGCTTTTTTTCTGTTTTTAATTTATCTGTTGATAACGATCATAAGGTATTGCTTTAAAATCTAATTGTTTATATGCGAAAGGAGGCATTTGCTTAGGCCTGCCCAGTGCAGTTTAGGTTTGATAACAAATGATTTCTTCTGGTTTCCCACTTGTACATGTTTGTAAATGTTTTTACCAATGTCTTATAAGAATATTAAGAGGCAAGCCTCATCAGCAGTAACTTTCTTCTAACAATTAATGCCTAAAATCTTCCCATATATCCCTGCTTTACCATCAACGCATTCACCTCTACAATTTGAAACTCCACCTTTGATGGGAAAAATGAAGTGATTTTCTAAATAAATTACAGATCACCCATTATTATATATCACAGACAAGGTCCTATAAAAGAACAACGATATATATATATATATATATATATATATATATATATCATTCCAGTTTTAAAAAAATTTGATTTCTTTTCACCAAGGGATGTACACTATTGTTTCTAAATGCATTACAAGCAGTTTTTATTGACAAGATGGATCCAAGGTTCTGAAAAGAACTTTTTCATTCCCAAAGAAATCATTGGTTTGGATTAGGCCCTCTTTTCTATGAAAGCAGCATGCTGGCTCAGTGTCCATTACTATGAAAGTGATGCCCTGGATGAAGACAGCAATTAAACTGGTTACTGAAAGAGAAGCACCACGTACAGTATTTCCCATATGCCACCTGCAGTGGCATGCTAGCCCAGTTCTGGAAACGCAGGTCGATCTTGAAGTCCTGCATGGCATCACTCACCAGCTGCTGAAATGGCAGCTTAAAGATCAGCAGTTTGGTGGACTTCTGGCAGCGCTGGATCTCGCGCAGCACCAAGGTACCAGCACTGGGCTTTGGTTCAGTGAACTTGCTCGCTGACTGCTTCCTATGGCTGCAGCAGAAAGGACCACTACAGGCTGATATTGTCCTATCATACTTTTATGAAGCTGACTGAGCCCTGTTTATCGATCCCTCGCTGAAACTTCCTTTAGGAGCAGATTGAGTAATACGTTGTTTCCAGGTTAGTTCACTTTTTAATACATGTAAGCAAAGAATCATGTAGTCTTTATTTTTTATTTTATTTAATTTTGGGGGTGTTATAAGGAATTGGGCTCACGACTTGTCAGGCAAGTGCTTATGCCACTGAACTGTATCCTTGGCAACCTCATGTAGCCTTGACTGGCTTTTTCAACCCTCATGTGGTCTAAAATTAGCTTTTTCATAACTACATTTTCTTGAAGGGTGATAACCAACAGTTAAAAGTATTACTGCTTATAGAAATGCCCTCTTCTCAACTAAAAAACCCAGCCCTGAAATCTAACTGATCACTTTTCCTTCTTTTTCTTCTACCTTTATTATTTTGGGCTTTATACTTATCTTCAGATTTCATGAGAGTATGAACACTCAACTTACATGTAATTTTGTGTACTGAGATTTATGCGTACATGGTTACACACACAAAGTATTTCTTTGGACGTTATACTTTCACTGCTTTTGATTATATTGCCTAAATCCCACTTTTGTTCTGATATGACTATAGTTGCTTTTCTTTTGAGAATTGTGTGGATGTTAGGAGCTAAGTTTTGCTTTTCTTCTGAAATACTGATGTATGAAAGTTAAAAGTGCCATCCTGGGGCAAAGCTTGATTTTTCAATTCGTGAAAATTCCAAGTGTCAGTAAAACGTCTGGTACACTTCAAAAGCATTGCAGCGCTTTACAGAAAAACTGGGTGGCTCTGAAAAGAGCCTTTGTTTTTCAAGGAATATAGATCACTAGAGCTGCTAAGCTCCTCACTTGCCCTTGGCCTTGTGGTGGCTCTCGGTCTTCTTGGGCAGCAGCACGGCCTGGATGTTGGGCAGCACGCCGCCCTGCGCGATCGTCACCTTGCCCAGCAGCTTGTTGAGCTCCTCGTCGTTGCGGATGGCCAGCTGCAAGTGGCGCGGGATGATGCGCGTCTTCTTGTTGTCGCGCGCCGCGTTGCCCGCCAGCTCCAGGATCTCCGCTGTCAGGTACTCCAGCACCGCCGCCAGGTAGACCGGAGCGCCGGCGCCCACGCGCTCAGCGTAGTTACCCTTGCGGAGCAGGCGGTGCACGCGGCCCACGGGGAACTGCAGCCCGGCGCGGGAGGACCGCGTCTTAGCCTTGGCGCGAGCCTTGCCGCCCTGCTTACCGCGTCCAGACATAGCTGAATCGTAACAGCAAAACAGTAGAAAGGAAAAAAAAAGAATAGGACAGCTTGCTAGCCAGATGACAAGCTATTATACTGCCAATACGGATTGTAAATTGCAACTTTTGATTTGCTAAAAGAAGTCTTGAAATGAGCCAATTACAAAAGAGGATTTAAAAATGCTTAATTTGCATATGACGTATGGACCATGCAAAATTCTCCAATCAGAGTCTAAGTTTTGAAACACCTCGTTTATTTACATAAGCGCCTTGCAACTATATATGCTGTTTTCCATTGTAGCCATACCATTTCTCTTTTCCTTGGTCTCCTGAGTTGTGTTCGTTATGCCTGAGCCAGCGAAGTCGGCGCCTGCCCCCAAGAAGGGCTCCAAGAAAGCCGTCACCAAGGCGCAGAAGAAGGATGGCAAGAAGCGCAAGCGCAGCCGCAAGGAGAGCTACTCGGTCTACGTGTACAAGGTGCTCAAGCAGGTGCACCCCGACACGGGCATCTCGTCCAAGGCCATGGGCATCATGAACTCCTTCGTCAACGACATCTTCGAGCGCATCGCCGGCGAGGCGTCGCGCCTGGCGCACTACAACAAGCGCTCCACCATCACGTCGCGGGAGATCCAGACTGCCGTGCGGCTGCTGCTGCCCGGGGAGCTGGCCAAGCACGCCGTGTCGGAGGGCACCAAGGCTGTCACCAAGTACACCAGCTCCAAGTGAACGCCCCTGGCTGCTGCCTATAACCCAAAGGCTCTTTTCAGAGCCCCTCATTTTTTCAACAAAAAGAATTGTAATACTTTTCTAGCGTTTGACTTTTAAATTTTGAAAGAAAGCAAGCGGTTTAGGTGATTGCATTCACTGTATTTTACAAGTACTTCGGTCTTTATTGTTTTCTCATGGCATTCAGAGTGCTTTGAGTAGTAAAATCTTCCTGCAAATTCATTTTTCACCTCAGTTTTCAAATTATAGCTGAAACCTGAATACTTCTGTGTGGAATGGGTGCAGTGGCCCCAATGAGGTGTTTTATTTCCTGACATATGTTGCACTTAGATTTTCACTTCAAACTTGTGGTCACCAACTAGGATGTTAGCGCTATGTATAATGCAACACAATTGTATTTCTTGTATATATTTTCCATTTTTTTGTGTGTATCCTCTTTGAAAGTTAGGCCAAATTCTTTGTGGCAGTGGAGTATCCCTAGGACTCCTTCCAAAATGATAGTGAACTTAAGAGAAACCGGTCACTTTGTAACCTTGTAAATGGGACCCTGTCACTTACTGGATTGCATTTATTAAAAAGTATTATTCCCTTTTCTCAAGATGATTGTATACTGTAAGTGGGTCACTCAGAAAATCACTGACATGTGATAGAAGTTCCTTTTCAGTGATAAATACTAGTAACTAAATGTATTGGCACACAATTCTCTAGTTTTGACTGGAAAACAGATTGTGCTTTCTGTTGCTTGCTTCGCTGTCTAAAATACTGGCTGGACCGGGAAATATGGGGCATCAGAACCATAGCTGCCTGGGAGCAGTGGAGAGAAGTCAATGTGGACAGCATTGTAGACCTTAATTATTTTCTTTCCTTTTCTCTTCTGTTTTAGTTTGGTCTTTTGTTTGTTTGCTTTTCCCAAGTTGGATATTCTTAGGCTAGAAATGTAGGGAACTGGAAACCAGGAGGTCAAATGGGTGCTCTTATCTGCATCATAGAATTAAAGCTCTCTCCTTCTGGTATTAGTAATTTGTTCCACTTCTTTGGTTTTCTTCGCACACTCCTAGGATCATCCCCATTTTCTCCTCCCAGTGTTCTGATCCCCAGCTGGCCCAGGTTGCCCTCCTGTTTTCTGTATGCTAACCTTCTGATTTTTCTCTGCATTCCCTGGCTTCTACTATTGTCCTTCCTCTCAGAATACTGTAGGTCAGATTTTGTTTTCTGTATGCCAGTATAACTTTTATTAAATTATTTTTATAAAAAATGATGTTTAAGAGTTTCTGTGTTCCTGAGTGGATACTGACTGAAAGAACCAAACCTCTCTTGGTTTATGGGGAACATTGTTACTTTACATATTAATACATGTGGCTATTGAATTTTTTATTCACATTAAGAACTTTGATATTTTTTCTTGCTCTCAAAGAACCAAGTCTCTAAAGCATTTGTCACTGTCAATTTTTGCAGTAGATAAAGCAATTATTTGAAGTGTCATGAGAAGATTGGTAAAGTTTAATGTTGCATACAGGCCTCTAAAACAACAGTGCCTACCCCAGCAGGAGATTTTGGTGAACTTAAAATATTCAGAGATGGATAAGGAGCCTGGGAATTTTGCTCAGTGGTAGAATGCTTGACTGAAATGTTTGAGGCCCTGAATTCAATCTCTCAGTCCTTAAAATACTACCATCACCATTGCTACTGCCGCTACTAAAATGGAGCAGGAATGCAAATAAATCAAGTGTAGGCTATAGTTGTGGGAGAAGATACTCTATTTTAGAAATAATTCCCAAAGCTTTGAAACATTAACTGACTAAAGTGCTTTTGAATTCTATTAAGACATCTTTGAGAACACATAGTGTTGTAACCTAGTTTTAACCACTGTGCCTCATTTTCTGTTCTGTATGCATCTTACTGCCTCCCCCTCCCCTTTCCCCTTCCTATCTTTCTAGGTTAAGTTTCTGTTTCCTGAGAAAGCTGTAAAAGCCTTAGGTGTCTCTCCCCTACCCCTCATCTGACTATCTGTAACAAAATGTGCTGTTCTTTAAGAAATGCTTAACTTCAAGGAAATTACAGGAAGTTCTGTAAGGCCCAAATGCTATCTAACTGAGTCAAAGTTTGCAACATTCCTGTGGTTTTCGGCTTTAAAACCCAACCTTTCTAGCTGTAAGGTGCGCAGTCTCCAAATTGGCTCCTGGAGACTGTGATGCCAGGCCTGGCCTAAAATAAAGCCTTTGCTCCCCAAATTTTAATTTCTTACTTCCTTGGATTTTATTCCAGGGTATGAGCTATCACACATAGCATTAAACATTATAATAGATATTTGTGTTTTGTCATGTAAATGAAGTTTTTTTCTCACATACTGTATTCCTTTCTTACAGTGAGAATATTATTAAATCAACTCTATTGGCATTTTTTCTCAAAAGAATTATAATGCAAGGAATCATTTTAGATAAGTTTATAGTTCATAGAGTTGTCCCATGGAACCCAGGTCCTTTAATGGTGAAGAACCAGCCTCTCACTTCCTGGATCTTTGGATCTTTGTGCCTTTGGTTATGGGAGAGCAGGCTGAAGAATCAGACCTACTTTGCGTCTTTTATGAGTACTAAGGAGAAAGACTGAGTTCAAGCATGCTGACACACTGCAGGTTCCAGAAAAGATTCAACAAAGCTGCGATCCTATTGTTTATCTAGATATGTACCAATGATGATGGGAAGCAGATGAATCCTGTGATATTCTGATTGCTAGTATCTCTGTCTGAGTGAATACAGGGGAAGGTGAGCCAGTCTGAGGGTGAGGAACATCTATGCTGAATGAAAATAGGAGTCATTGGCTCACATGATTTTTAAAATTTAATGGTATCTGTCTTTGTTTTTCATCATCTTAGTTCTTTGGTTAGATATAAAGTATTTTGGGCTGATTCCTACACTTGATGAAAGAATCCAGTCAAGACATGTAGATACTAGATAATGGTAGAATGTTTGTAAAGTACTTTTAGAGAGAGTTACAGCTTCAAGCAAGAATGTAAGCAATGTCAAGTTCCCATCTGCACCAGCTGACAATTTGAATACCTCTATCAGTGGCTAGCTTGGGCCCTTACTTCTAGAAATAACAGAATTTAAACTAAAGCACAATTTTATAGACAAACAAGTTTTAATTGAAAAGTTATAGAGGAGGAGATAGGAAAGGACTCCAGTTTACGTAGCTGGAAGGGCTTTAAGCTGGCATAAGGGTGAGAGAATTGTGGTGTGGCTGAAAAGTTAAGTATGAAATATAAATGACTTTTATTTTAAATATGCAGGGAGAGATCCCCCGACCCTCCGGGGTCAGGCATAGTCTCTGGCGTTGGCAAGCTCTCCGTTGGACACGTGGAGTGGGGGCATACAGGTAGCTTAGGTTTGGGGTGGAGCCTACGGGGCATTACTGATGCGCAGGTAGCCCATTGGTATTTATTTGGTGCCAGAGGCAAATTCCTAGGGGTGGGGAAGATAGAGCCACAGGTAAATTCCTAGGGGTGGGGAAAATGGAGCTCCTTGGTTTTGCCTTCAAGGCTTTACAGGTTACAGTGTCTGGCCTAGGGCAAGATTCTTTCAAAGGGTTTATACTGGCCATCCACAAGGCAGGAGTGCAGCTCTTAAGGATTATCAGGTGGACTGGGTCATGTTGACACTTACAGTACCTCAGTTCTACTGTCATAGTTTCTCAGTCCTGGTGTCGTCATGTTAGAATCTTTAGCCCAGGAGACTGTTTTATTCTCAGATGCTTAGAGGGTCACAACAAGCAGTTTAAGGACAATAACTAAAGACTTGTTAGGCATAGTTGGATGTCCATAGAGATAACCTATCCTGGTATCCTCAGTCTTCACAAAGGTGAGATAATGTAAATTTAGGGCCAATCTTGTTCTTCCAACTTTTAGATAGATCACTACTAAATAACTAATATACCTATCTGTAGAGCTCAGATTTGACCGAAGTTTTATAGCAACAAGAGGGTATAAAATTAAAGTCAAACTTTGTTGTAATTCTGGTGACCTATTGAGCATCTGTAGGTTCAAGTGAAGATTTGTGGTTCATGGCAAAGATGACTTCAAGTCCCTAATTATCCCAGGAGAAAACATAAGTCATGTGTTTAATGAGGAGTGGAAAAGGGCCCATGGCTCTCCTTCCTGTTTCCCCATTCCCTTAGTGAATCCTAACTGTGTGCTTGTTCTTGCATATACAAAATGGGTGCTGTTTACCTACCTTAGGTAAAAGTAGGTCTTTGTTTATTTCTCATGTGGTTGTCTCTATTTAGTTTGTGTGAGCTTTTGAGGTTTTTCTAACCCATCACCAATAGTCCAAAATTTTTATGGTCCCTGAGCCTCATCAGCAACACAATGCTAGGCAGAAAGGAGAAACAAACATGAACTCAGCAATCAGGACAGGTTTACTTGGAATAAACCTGAGAGAGGCTGCTGCTCTGTAGATCAAAGTAGCCACTATTAGAAAGGGGGCTGGGGATTTAGTTCAGCCACATAAGCCCCTGCCTGGCAGCTCCAGGTCCACAGTATCAAAAAAAAAAAAAAAAAAAAAAGACTACGAGGCTTTTTTTTTTTTTTTTTTTTTTTAAGGGTTGTGAGCATAAAGGGTGCCTCTGAGGGGAAAAGTTCAGTGAAAAGCTGTTTTGGCTATCTGTTAGAATTAAGGCTTAAGACTTGCATGGTGTTGTGGTTGTCTGTCAGGAGCAGGGCTGAAGACTGATGGGAATTATTGGATTAAGCTGTGGTTATTGGGCCTAATTAACCCATGATTATACATCTTCAGTAGATATGACAGCATAAAGGGATGGAAGAGGATTGCAGTAGCCTCTAGTTAGCCTAGGAAGGTAGTGGTTGGATTTCTTCATTTAGAGGATGTTACGTTCTTTTAAGCTACATTCTTTTTAGCTTTCCAACCTTCAAGAATCCAGTGATTAAGAAAGTGAAGGAAAAAATCCCATCTTTGCTTTTCAAGTAGCCCCTCTGTTACTAGTCTCCAGGCTGTTAACAACTCTCTGTCTAACACCACGACTTGCAGTGCCTTTTATACATACAAACAATTATTCTTGGGATTCAAGGACGCATGGTGATTATGAAGCTTATCAACATTTTCCTTAGAAGTTACTTTTGAGCTGAAAAATGTCTTATTCTTCTTTTTCATTGTTCAGTGTTTCTTCAGAGGCTTCTGTCACATAAGAAACTTCTGAAGAATAAATTTATTTAAACCACGTGCCAGCCTAAGATTGGAGCCTCTTTAAAGAACCCTGGTTTTTCTCATACCACTGAATTGTAGGTTATGGTAACTAAGAATTGTATATGTTTTGTTCTGGAACTACATGCAGGTGGCCGGTTATTTAGGTAAGATGAAAGAAATAAAGATAGGTTGAAAAGAGAAAAAGAAAATCATAATTAGAAAGTACAACTTCTGCGACCCAATCATGGTTACCAAAAACTATCTCTGTATGAGTCAGTTTAGGCTCCTCTCTCTTACAACACGTCACACTGAATGTTCCTTCAGCATATTGTAAGTTCATGTGTTTCCCTGAGTAAGAGTAGGAATCCGATTCAAATATAAAGGAACAGGTTGAACCTTTTAAAATAATGCTTACATTATCCATCATACTGAGTATATTTGTCACTGATTCTTTTACTTGTAGTGTTGTATTAGCTTCTTATTGGTGATCCAAAATGTATTATGCACTTTGTGGATAAAAGTAATAAAAATTTAAAATTATATAGTTCTGTAAATCTATATGACATAAATCTCACTGGGCTAAGTTCAGAATGTTGTTCTGATTTTAACTCACGAACTGAACACTTAAGATCTATTTTCTTATTTTTCAGATGTTAGAGTTCACTCTCTTTCTCACTTTTGGTCATATTCCATCATTTTCAAAGCCAGCAATCTATGGCCAAAGCATTCGTACACTGCAATTTGTATTATGATCTATTATCTCTCTTATACTAATGAGGACCGTGGGGGTTAAATAGTTATTTGCAAATTATGGTAAAATTTTACTATTAATGTAGGTCAACTGGCAGACTTAATTCAGTGTACAACTTTATTCTTTGTCAGATAAGGTGAAGAAGTCTAGTATCACTTTGGTGACATTATATGTATGTCACTATGGGATACAATAATTTTTAGAACTTGATAGTTACATAATTACAAAATAGTTACATAATTTCTACTCTCGGAAGAGTAGCCAAATAAGAACATGTTTCCTCTTATAACATAGGAGAGTTCAGTAATTCCGTAAATTACAGGCCATGATTATTTTTATTTATGCTAACAAGCAGTTTTTGTTTTTAGTTTTTCTTTTAGTTTTTGCTACTTTTGTTAATTTGAAGTTTATACATGTTCTTGTGTATGTTGTATACACAGTATTTGTTGGACAGAGAGTAAAACATGCAGTGCAGAAACATCTTTTGCCAGGACTGGATTGAAATTCTGAAATATTTTTTATGTAGATAACATTTCTTCAGCATTTCTTACAGGCTGTAAATTTTTTTTTTTTTTTTTTTTTTAAGATAAGGTCTAGTTCTGCAGTTCAGGCTGGACTTTAACTCACTTTGTAGCACAGGCTGGCCTCAAACTCAGTAGTCTTCCTGCCTCAGCCTCCCAAGTGCTGCAGTTACAGGCATGTGACATCACTTGGCTAGTTTATAAATTTAAATAAAATTTGTAATTATCACAAAAACATGTAAGTCTCCATTATGCAATATATACATATATATGACAACAAAGTCAAGGTCTAACTATTTATACTATTTTTCCTTAATTTATCCAGAACAAATTGCAAGATAAACTGATATAAATCATGCATTAAAAAAATCCCAAAATAATTTTTAAATATCTACAAACTGAGTTCCAAGAATTTCCTGAACTTTCCTTAACTGCTGTAATTGTGTCTGACTTGGTACCTGGAAAACTGTAAATGTACCTTCCCAGGAACCAGTTAGTCACTTTGATCTTGTTGCATGTCAGTTGCACTCCTCTCCTTACTTTGGAGGATTTAAAGTAAATTAATTGACTTGAAAGAAATTTTGCCTTTACTAAGAGTATTGTAATTTAGTGGCCCCCAAGGATACAAATAACAAAAGAATTAAGCATATTTACTGAATCCTTTCCATTAAGAAACCAATTAGGTAATACACATGATGCGGCAATGTAAGGATAGTAAGCAGCCAATAGAAAAAAAATGCAAAGGTGGTAACAACTGTTACTATTTGCAAGTAAATGTGATTTATCTATGTGTCACTGTTCCACACAAATGCAAATCTCCATTTTCTGCAAAGTAATTTACTTCAAAAAATAAAAATACAAATAAATGCTTTATCACAAAAAACAGGTAAGTCATCACAACTCTTACAGTGAAAAAGTAGGTGGCTCTGAAAAGAGCCTTTGGGTTGTAGGCAGCTGCCAGATGCTCACTTGGAGCTGGTGTACTTGGTGACAGCCTTGGTGCCCTCCGACACGGCGTGCTTGGCCAGCTCCCCGGGCAGCAGCAGCCGCACGGCCGTCTGGATCTCCCGCGACGTGATGGTGGATCGCTTGTTGTAGTGCGCCAGGCGTGACGCCTCGCCGGCGATGCGCTCAAAAATGTCGTTGACGAAGGAGTTCATGATGCCCATGGCCTTGGACGAGATGCCCGTGTCGGGGTGCACCTGCTTGAGCACCTTGTACACGTAGACCGAGTAGCTCTCTTTTCGGCTGCGCTTGCGCTTCTTGCCATCCTTCTTCTGCGCCTTGGTGACGGCCTTCTTGGAGCCCTTCTTCGGGGCAGGCGCCGACTTCGCTGGCTCAGGCATGTTAACAGACCTGGGACTGAAATACAGATCGAAAAGAAAACTAAGCAGAAACACAAGAAGCAGTATATTTATAGGGCGTCTATGCAAATAAGGCTTCAAGAATATTTAGATTTGATTTGAAAACATACCAGTGACGAAATATATGCAAATTTGGTTTATTCAATCTGCTCTCTTATTGGTTAGCTAGGTAAAGCAGCTGTTAACCAATCAAATGTTGCAGTTTACACTTCCACCTATCAGTATAAGGAGCTTCCTATTGCTTGTAGCTGGACAGTTTTTTCTTTCCTTCTTAGCTGTTTCATCTCTGTTTTTATCTTACAATGTCTGGACGCGGTAAGCAGGGCGGTAAGGCTCGCGCCAAGGCCAAGACGCGGTCCTCCCGCGCCGGGCTCCAGTTTCCTGTCGGCCGCGTGCACCGCCTTCTCCGTAAAGGTAACTATGCCGAACGTGTGGGCGCTGGCGCCCCGGTCTACCTTGCAGCTGTGCTGGAGTACCTGACAGCCGAGATCCTGGAGTTGGCGGGCAACGCAGCGCGCGACAACAAGAAGACACGTATCATCCCGCGTCACCTGCAGCTGGCCATCCGCAATGACGAGGAGCTCAACAAGCTGTTGGGCAAAGTGACGATCGCGCAGGGCGGCGTGCTGCCCAACATCCAGGCAGTGCTGCTGCCCAAGAAGACCGAGAGCCACCACAAGGCTAAGGGCAAGTGAACAGCTTCGCAGCTGTAGTGATCCATGTTCCTGGAAAAAACCAAAGGCTCTTTTCAGAGCCACCCATGTATTCAGTAAAAGGGCGCACATTTTTTTTCCTATTGCAATAGTTAATTTTTGTTTCTAGTGAGCGAAGCAGAAGTTGGAGAAAATGGGGATATGTGCTGTGAATGTCACTCCAGATATCAGGCTGTTTTAATAGCTAATCATGTCTTAGAATGTCTTAGAATGTCTGGACGCGGTAAGCAGGGCGGTAAGGCTGGCGCCAAGGCCAAGACGCGGTCCTCCCGCGCTTTTCGAAGCTTTTTCGAAGTGCAACACAATTAGGATCCAATAACCTTAAGAAAGGTACTGAACAAGGCAAACAGTTGATGACTTAAGTTTTAAGTTTTGCAAGTAGGAATACATTTGAAATACACCTAATGGTGTGACCATATTTGCACAAAAGGTTTACTAGTGAGTCTAATAAACATTTCTAGTGACACATCAAGGCCCTCTTCTATCAGGAATACATCACTAGCCTTAAAAAGGCTGTCCCCTATGTAAAAGTGCTCAGCTTCGCTATGAAAGGACACATGTTCTCTAGGCCATCCGTAATGATATATTTTTCAAAATGTTTCCCAAATGTCTTCAATTTATGTATGCTCTTATGAGGATGCTGTACTTTAATTGAAGGTGTAGTTGGACATTGGATTTATAATTGTTCATTTATAGTTAATGACCATAGGACAGCTATAACATGTTTGAGTTACCAGTTTACAAGTCAATATATTTAATGTGAGGTTACGCTTTCTTTATAAATGTGGCTTAAAAAATCACTTAGCTAATCCCATCACGTGCTCGTTTAAAAAAATGACAACCAACTTTTGGTGCCTGAATTTGAAAATATTTATTTTGCAAGCTATTTTCATTGTAATGACTAGGTAAAATCCCCCTAAGCTTTGTAAAGGAACATCCTAAATAAAATGCATGAGGACTCCTCAAAGGACAAGTTAAAAAACAGCAGTTAAGGGGGAGTGACTACAGAAATATGATTTTTCTTTTTTAAATGCTAGCGAGGTTTAAGTGATCCGGAAGCAAAGGTAGCCACCAATGCTTGTGTTTGGAGCTACAAAGTATCCAATGACAATAAGTCAATTTCTCTTTCTCATTCTCTCTCTCTCTGTCTCTTGGTCTCCCCTCCCCACCCTGTTTCTTTGTCTCTCTGTCTCTCTGCTTGACAAGACTTCTGGAAGTCTCCATTTTGTTATTAGCGTTTTTTGTTAGTGACTTTTTAATGGCTCGCACGAAGCAGACAGCGAGCAAATCCACAGGCGGCAAGGCCCTGCGCAAGTAGCTGGCTACCCACGATGCTCGCAAGAGCGACGTGGCCACCGGCGGCTTGAGGAAGCCGCACTGCTAACCAGCTGGCACCGTGGTGCTGCGCGAAAGATCTGGTACTACCAGGAGTCCACCGAGTTGCTGATCCATAAACTGCCTTTCCAGCGGCTGGTGTGCGAGATCGCGAGGGACTTCAACACCAACCTGAATTCCCAGAGCTTGGCTGTCATGGCGCTGCAGGAGGCTTCCCAGGCCTGACTGGTGGATCTTTTTGAGGACACCAGACTGTCTGCCATCCTGGCCAAGCGGCTCACCATTATGCCAAAGGACCTCCAGCTTGCACCACATTCTTGGGAAAGAGGGCTTAAAGTTTTCTTCTTGAGCTATTGCAGAATTGAACCCAAAGGCTCTTTGCAGAGCCCACTACCTTATAAAAACTGTGTAGTGCTATGGTAGCATTAAAAAGGCAGGCGCTTCACACAGGTATATAGCCTCTGTCCTCGTGAAGATAAAGGAATTAATTAGGTCTGATTTTTGGACTTTTCTGTACTTCCTGTTTTGGCACTGCTTTGGATCCGCTTGACTTTTGTAGGTTTGATTACTTCACTTGTGGGACCTTTGGTTTTATTTTTGCCTCTAGTCCTTTTAGCCTTACCTTCCTTAATCTTTGGGGGACTCTAGGCACTTTATAATCAGCAGTTGAGTATTTTGGGGTTCCTGCTATGAGCTAGTCCATCGCTTTCCTGAGATTCTTGACTGCACTTGCCCAGTTGCCTTGTCCTTTCTTAGCTAGAAATCCTGAATTGAGCTTGAAGGGAGAGGTGCCGTACTTTTAAGTCCCAGCTTGGCAAGGTATTGTCAAGGTTTCCATAGCTTTGAACTTGGCCAGAGAGAAACTTTGCCTCCCTGGGCTGGCAAGGGAAGTGGGGAGGTGGATTCTAAGGTTTGATGTGATGATCTTGAGTGTAATGTGCTGAAAAGTCTTGTTCTTGAGGCATTGCCCCTCCACCAATTTTTTTTTCAATTGCAATATTTCTGCTGGAAACAGCGTAAGTCTTGAAAGATTGTTTCATACATAATTTCAGGGTTTAAGTGACCACCTATCCTCCAAATATAGTTGTTAATGGTGCTGGCTTAAGTGTATGGTCATTTTATGCCATATCCCATCTCACATTCGATGAGCTCTTCTCCTTATTTGAATTCCTACACTGAGATCTTTACTAGCCATTTTAATTTATGTTGTTATTTGCATATCTGTTGTCTTTTAAATCTACCTAGTACATTGTACACACCCCAAAGTATGGAGTTGTGACATCTCTTCCTCCTGTCCTTCTCTCTACAGAATCTCACAGTGCAGTTTGGTCTGGCCTTAACTCATGTGGTCCAAGTTTAAGCTCATCCTGCCTCAGCCACGTGAATGCTGGACTCACAAATGTGCACCACCATGCCAGGTGGGCTGCATGCAGTCATTTATACAAGAGAACGTGTGCAAATATATGAAGGGAGTCTGCTGAACTTGAGCAGCATAAAACTGTGGAATTTAAATTTCTCCCATTGCTGCTTCTTGCTGTCATGGCTGATGCTCAAACGCATCTTTTATTTGCCAGTGGGTTCTGTGCAGCACTACAACTGTACTAGTACTTGATCTTTGTTACTCATTTTAAATGAAAGGAACCATGAAGACATGGAAGAAGTAAAATAAGAAGCTGCTTTTTTTTTTTTTTTTTTTTTTTTTTTGTCTTTTTCCTTTTGATCGGCACCAGGGATCAAACTCACAACTGCCTGCTTGCAAAGCAGGCGCTTGTGCTGCTGAGCTAAATCTCTAGCCCCAAGAAACTGCTTTTAATATAAATCAAAAGCTTTTGATCTCTGAGAGGCCAATATTGTGTTTCTTTTTTAAAGAATTTTAATACTAATAATTGATAGATTTTTCGGCATGGATAAAAAGATAAGAAATATGAAATGAAAGTGGACTTTATTTTAGGAATGTGGAGAGAGACTCCATGACCTCTGAGGTCTGGCTTTGTCTCTGCTGGACACGTGGTGTGGGGGTATACATATAGCTTAGGTTTGGGGTGGTGCCTAAGGAGCATTACTGATGCACAGGTAGCCCACTGGAATTCATTTTGTGCCACAGGTAAATTGCCTAGGGGCAAGATAGAGCCCCTTGGTTCTGCCTCCCAGCCTCCCACCGGTGCATCTGTCCATTCAATCCTTTCAATAATGTAGGCAAATAATTTGTACTCAGTAAACATTTTTAAATTCAGAATAAAGCAACATGACATGTATGAGTGGAAGAAATAGGTCGAGAAAGTCTTTAAGATAAAGACCTAAGGCAGGAAAATGAGCAATTGTTACAGAGAAAGGGTATATACTTCTTATATGCAATGAGGAAGTTTAGGGCCTTCTATTGTCAGAATCAGGTATTTGAAATTTTGATCACTGGGCCATCTCATAAAAGGCTAAATGCCCTTTGATCTTGGAATGTCTTGCACAGTAAACAGATTTCATGGGCTTTGTAATTATGGGACACAGAAGAATGTAGGTAGGGGCAAAATGCCCCTTCATGATAAAATGCGCACTGGCTTTTACCTTCCATGGAACTTTTGGGCACCTTCACATTTTGGAGAAACAAAACAATCTGATAATAAAATGATCTGTAACCAGAGAGAAAGAACATCAGTTGTTATTGAGAAACAATTAACAGATTTACATAGATATAAGTACAACAGAAATTACAAAATTAGGACAGTGTCTCTATACAATGAAGTAGAAGAACGACAACATCTTTTATCTCCTTCACTGCTCAGGGCTACATTTTCTGACAATTTATTATATATCTTGAGTGAGACTATTAAACTAATTCCAAAGATATAGTTAAGTATATCAAGAGGACATTTGTCCTATGACCTTAGAGATATAGACCCATTATTAAAATTGGAAAGTGCTTATAATCTGTATACTATTTTATCGCTGTTTCTAAAAGTTGAGTAAAGACTTAGGCCATTTTTCCAATAAAATTTCATAAAGAATAGTTTTACCCTTTATCATGAGAAAGTCAGGGTCCTTTATCCTTATGTATTGCCTTGAGATTACTGTGACTAACATGATTTTGATCTCTAAGTTGATACTGTTTCTTAATTCTCCTCACTGCACATTTTTGGATGCTAGAATCTTTCAAGTATCTCTGAATCTTCTAGAAGACTTCTTTCCACTTTTCATGCCATGTATTTTTTTTTTTGTATATTTGATGAAGTCTTAGTGCCCCTTTTTGAATGTTTTTTAGCATCTGAAGAAACATACATGGAAGTACAAAAGAAATAAAATTATCATATTGTCAAAATATTTTAAAAAATCAAAGTTGATAAAACACTAACATGGTTTTGTGTTTCTTCATTAATGCATAAAATAACCAAATCTACCGATCTAACACACAATAGTGTGAAAAAGAAGTGATATATTTAAATTATATGTTGAGAATTTGACAAATGAAATTTTATGTGAATAGCATATGTCATGTCACTTACATTGTTTGTTGTCTGTGGAGGACAAGCTGGAGGACAAGCTCCTTAAAAGAAAAGTAATTATCACAATTTTGGGTCAACCTGGCCCTATTCCCATGTATTACTATGCCAAGAGCTGGTTAGGTCTTTTCCTTATTCTTTCAGTTGCCTTTAAGCAGTAAGCACATCGGTCTAGCCAAGGTGCTAAGGTATAGTCTTTGAGATAAGGTGACCGTCAGTGTTATCCTGCCTGGTAGCTCCTAAAAAACTTGTGTGAGCCAGGCTGAAGGGAAAGCCATACTCCAGGATGTTGGTTAAGATCCAGCCTCTAGAAAAGAGGGTATGACTTCCCAGGGCATAAAAGATTACCCATCAGAGCTTAAGCACTGGGCCCAAAACATTGGCTACTACTTCAAATTGTGTTACTCTTTCTGCATATCCTTCTCTCTGCATATTGCAAGGGTGACTTCAGACCTCCTACTTAGCCCAGTTCACAACACCTATGTACTCCCTACTCTTCTCACAGTCATTCATCCTTGAGTTACTCCCTTCTTCACAAATGGATAAAACCTGGGTTAGGCCCTGGATCTAGGCCTTTGTTCCAGTTATCCATCATCCTAGATGTATTTGGAGCCCTTTTTGCTCCCCACAACTACAGATATGCCTTAGTGCCTCTGTTCTCACTATGAGTTATACTGTAAGGGTCAAATTGGAATAACTAGAATTCCAAAAATTTTTCCATGGGATAACAAATATAAACTTCCTGGACCATCACGATGACTGGAAAGGGCTTTCTATAGTTATCTGAATTCAAGCTATATAGAATGTTAAGGTTTGTTTGGGTGTTTATAAAAATGAAGATCAAAATTTTTGTGTATCTGTGTTTCACATTCCTTGAATCCTGAGATACTCTCAGAATAAGAATGCATCAATGGGAAAGTTGCAATGAACTTGGTCTTTCCCATCAATCATGGAGAATACCAGCTTTCTACCCAAAGGACTTAACTTCTTAAGGATGTAATTGTGAAATAAGTACTCTTTTTTTTTTTTTTGGTCAGCGAGGATTGAACTCATGACTTCACACTTGCCAGTCAGTCTTTATGCCGCCGAGCTAAATCTCTACCCATGTATTCATCATTTTGAGGAGTTCTTAAAACGAAGTTTAGCAATGAGGATTATCTCTTAGGAGCATTAGTCTAAAGAAATCAATTTTGCAGGAAGAGGAGCCACAATAGTATCATACAAGATAATAATGTTGGGTTGTTTTTAAAAAGCAATTTATGTAGTATTCTAAAACAATATATGTAAAAACAAATATATAACCTACCCAAGAATACTCAGTGGTCATGCTGAGGATGCTCTTGAAGCTGGATATTATACTACAGGTTGGTTGGGAAGACAACATGTGGTGACAGACACAGAGTTGCATTTGATTAAAGATGACTGTAAGCCTCGAATTCCCCTAACTAGTATCTCTTGCCTTCGTGATTTACCCATGTATAAATCTTCACTGCAGCCCTTAATGCCTTTAGCCGGACTGACCTGTAATTCTGTAACTGTCACATATTTTTACCCCTCATTCTGTTTGGGTGCCAAAGAACTTTGTTAACTACACATACATCAATCAATAAAATAACCTTGGATTCTTAAACAACAAGGACATGAATTGCTTAAACCATATTTCAAGCATGTAATATATGGGATAATAACTTTAACTTTACATACTCTGTGAATTCTGAGGTACTACTACAGGTTCAATCTTCTTTCCTGAAAATATGAATAGGCCAGTTCCAAGCTGCCTCAGGCTCTGCTGTTGCTTCTGCTTCCGCCCCTCTTTGGTTTGAACAGGAAAAAAATGCTCAGACGGGCGGGAAACATGGTTCCCGCCCTTGCGTTTCCTGTTTTCAACCAGGTCCGCAGTGCTACTATAAAATGCTGGTCCATGAGCCCTGAGACACATTGTGCACTTTGCTCAAACACAGCTTGCATAATGTCTGGACGTGGCAAGGGAGGCAAAGGCCTTGGCAAGGGCGGCGCTAAGCGCCACCGTAAGGTGCTGCGCGACAACATCCAGGGTATCACCAAGCCAGCCATCCGTCGCCTAGCCCGCCGTGGTGGCGTCAAACGAATTTCTGGCCTAATCTATGAGGAGACCCGCGGCGTACTCAAGGTCTTCCTGGAGAACGTGATCCGCGACGCCGTCACCTACACGGAGCACGCCAAGCGCAAGACGGTCACCGCCATGGACGTGGTCTACGCGCTCAAGCGCCAGGGACGCACGCTCTACGGCTTCGGCGGCTAAGTCTATCGGCTGGATTTTCTCTTAACAGACTTTAAAAAACGGTCCTTTTCAGGGCCAACTACTTATTTCACTTTTAAAGGGCAGTACACTTGAATTAAGGTAGTAGCCCTTGAGTTTTCCCTCAAGGAGGCGAGTTGCTTAGGTCATAACTGGTGGCTGCACCGTGGTAGTCTCAGCATGCCAAGAATGTTTTGAAACAATTGGTGAACTACATGGAACTTTGAAGGTATGCCTTTCTAAAAACCACATTCCAAGTCCAATCAAAAAGAAACTTGGAAACTGTTAATGTTGATTTTCAGTGGTAAACTCTCTACTGCCACTGGTGAATGATAACTTACTGCCTGGTTAGTCTTTAACTATGAAGGAATACACATTTACAAGTTATGTACTCGGTTCTTTAAACGTATGGTTATTCAGTCAGCACAGTGATGTACTGTTAGAGTAACGGGTGTAAGCCGTCTTGTGTATTCCAAGGTTCTCCCCTCATCGGCATTCATATACGACCGGGCAATACGGCTGCTTTTTGAGCCAAAGTCAACACTTTAAAAAAAACATGTGGCTGATTTCCTAACTTTGAGAGGGACATTCAGTGTCAGATGACTTATCTTTGCATTGCCTCTCCTTTTTCTTCTAGTTCAGGTGTTACAGGCATCTTCAGGGAACCAAGAGTTAAGTGAATGGAGCAAGATTTCCTCATTGATCCCCCAGTAAAGATGCTTTACGGAATCCAAATAAGCACTATGCGCCTATTCCACAACAAGAAGTAACTGTCCTTATAAACGCATGTATCATTGGCTCGGGTGTAGCAGTTTAATTTCACCATACAAGAGGATTTTCTCAGTTTATATTGTAGCCCCTGCCTTGACCTGCCACCTTTTTTAAATAAAGGTGATGATTGATCCTTTTCCTGTTACCTCTTGCACTGTGCTGCAGTGTGGGAAGAACAGGATTGAATTCATTACACGTTAAAAATCAAAGGATACGTTTGCCCTGTGTCTTAAGCGCTGTTGCTTTCACATCACTCTTCTGTTTGGAGAGGAGTTGTTTAATAGATGGATCAAAAAGTCCTTTGAAAAGAATCTGTTTAAAAATAAACACGGACATAAAGCATTTCATTGGGTTTATTTTTGCTCTGAGGCTTGCCCATGCTTTCCTGTCAGCCTGGCATCCGGTGTTTAGAGCAGAGAGAGATAACCCCAGAAATGAAGGATACAGTTGTAGAGCAAGGGCAGACCTAACAATGCTAAAGAACAACTTGCATAAGTTCATTCTGTCACCCTTTGCTGAGTGGTATTAGTCAACCTATATATTCTTGAGTTGGTCACCTCTGCATATTTTATAGTGCAGAAGAAAAGAAAGCCCCATTCCGAGGAAAACGCAGTTCTCAGGTCTAAGGCCCTGAATTGACTGAATCTTACAAGACTGAGAAATAAACCATAAGAAGCAACAAGGAATTGATTTTTAGCCTTTTTAAGGAAGAAGACTGAATTGTGTCCTGATGCTTTGGATTTGTCCTCCATTCAACCACCTTATGTTATTTAATACAATAAATATTAAGTAATTGGTCATTATGCAAGTCATACGTATTAAATTTATAGGAAGCATTCCCAGGATCCCCTGGAAGTTTTGGAATGCTTTGCATGGAAGGGTGCTTGTGACAGTACTATTTCATAGCTTTGGTACTCAGTGGAGTTATTTACTAAATATTTTGTTGACTAGTGCATGTCACAGGATACCCTATGTGTTTAGGCAACTATGATTGCTATGTCTTGTATCTCATGACAATAGCATGACCTAGACAAAAAAGACAGATTTGACCCTGCAAATGTGTAGTGAAGTTTTCAGAGCTACGCTTCTTAAAAAATTTAATCTTTGTAGTCTGTGGCAAGTTGGCACTATTGTGGCATTCATTATATAGGATAACTCTCTTTTCAGGTATAGTTCTTCCCCTTTTTCTCTCACAGCCTTTGTCCACCTCCCACAGGATGCTGCAGGGAGAAAGACTTTGCCAGGTACCAGCTAGCTGCTTTATCTTACCAGCCTCTACATCTCTGAGAAATACTTTGTATTTCATTATTAATTGCCCTGTCTCTGTTCTGTAACAGCTGTACAAAACTATGATACTGTCATTGGTATGGTAAAGGTCTAATAAATGTCAACTATCTTTAATTTGTAAATTTCAATTAATTCATCAGTAAATTGTGTTCTATAAGTAACTACTGATTTTCCCTTCACTATTTCTATCATCTGCTTTATTTCTGTTTCTTTCCAGTTTTTACTCTCATTAATTTCATTCTCCACATTACAGTTAAAACCTTGCTTATAATCTCTGTACTGTGTTAGGTATGACTAAATAGTAATCTGGGTCCGTCTTTTGGCATATTATATACCACATAAGCTGTGTCATGTTAACCCTTGCCCTCATGGTTTTACTCTTTATCCTTGTGACTAGTACCTTGGCACAGAATTCTATTTTTTTTTTTTTTAGCACAATCTCCTTTCTCTAGGATATATATATATATATATTTTTTTTTTTTTTTGAGATAGGGAGGCTACCAATACTTACCTTGCCCTAGCACCTTTAATTTCCTACATTTTGGTTTGTTCCTTTAAATAATTTTCTAGTCCAGAGCATGTCCTTTCACAGCATGCATAAGTCTTTACTAAAAATATCCTGATGAAGTTTCTAACTTGTTTATTGTCTATCTCTCATTAGGATATTTTAACCTAGGATGTCTAAACTCTGTTCATTGCTGTGCCTCACACCTGGCAGAGGAAATAGAACCAATGATCTGCAAATCCCAAACAGAAACTTCCGGGCATTATAGTATTCCCCAAACCCTGGCCCATCATTGTCACTGTTTCTTTAGCTTGAACTTTTGTCACTTTTCAGTGACATTTCCCTGCATTCTGTCCAGTTGCCTGCCATCAAAAGCAAGCTAACCAGGCTAGTCCCTGCTCAGAAGCTTTCTTCAACTTTTTTTTATGACCTATGTAATAAGCGATCTCATTGTTTGGGATATAGTTCTTTCATGATTTTGCAACTTCATCTTTAACACAAGGAAAACAACATATTATGTGTGTGTATGTGTGTGTGTGTGTGTGTGTGTGTGTGTGTGTGTGTGTGTGTGTTGGCAAGAGAGGATTTTGCCTATAAAGACTATTTCTCAGGGAAACATTTTTAGTAAGGCAAATTCCTGGGTCTTACCCTAGACCTAATAGAACAGAAATGCTCTGATTGGGACTAGAGTAGTTCTTTAACAAGTTTTGCAGGTGATTTTTCTCTACAGTGTATTTTGAGTTATTTCACTATATCTTTCGACATGATTCAATGCTTGCCACTAGAATGAGTGAATGATTATTGACCTTTAGTGTCCTGGACACCCCTTTGTGTGTTTGGAATGTTCTAGTGAAATACTACTACCCTTTTTCTCTCTCTAATACATTGTTGGTTTTTCTTAGTTGACCCTTTGTTCCCTGGTTTGTGCTCTAGAGGAGGCATAGTTCTTTCCAGCTTTAGGAATTATTCCCGATTCAGCTACAGCAATTTCTAGGGTTCTAGGACTTTTACAAGTGAATGACTTAGGTCCAGATATAGAGAAAGTTTTCTGGGCCATGAGAATCTTTTACAGTGGATATGTTTCCACACGCTGCGCTTGAAACTGATCAATAAATCAGCTCTGTGTGTGTGTGTGTGTGTGTGTAATGGTGTAAGAGTGTATAATCAGAGGAATTTCAGGAGAAAAAAATTGAAAAGTTCCTAAGCCTATAGGCGTCATGAGTAATTCCAAAAACTGGAAGAGGAAAAAGAAAAAAGAAACAAACAAAGAAATGAACAAAAACAAATAGAAAAAAGACCAAAAATAAGGAAAGGCACATTATTTGGTTTGCAGAGTTAGAGGAGGCCCAGACTTTGCAGTTTGAGGCCATAGAACCATTTGTGATTTTTATAACACCAGTTCGGAGTAGTCACAAAAGTATCAGAGCAGGGGCACACAGGTGATCAGATGTGCCTTTACAATGATCACTGTGACTTAGAAAAAAGTGGATTCATGATAGATTGGAAACTTTCAATGTAACTCACACTAAAATAAAAGTAAGTAGGTAAACTTAAAATACAGTTGCAATTTGGTAACTAACAAAAACTTGTTCCCTTTCTACTTTTACTTTATTTAGAGAATAAAACGATATATAAACTGCTGGGAAGACGCTAATCATTTCGGAAGAATCGTTTATTTCTGATTTAATCTGTTAAGGGTGTGGGACCCTTAACCAAACTTCACTTGCTTCTATTTTCCCCAGTCACAAAGCTGTGTCCAACATAGGAACAACAAAAACCTACACCTCAAATGGTGTAGCTATGGATTAGTGGTAGTGGTATGTACAAGATCCTGGGCTGTATCCCAAGTGCTCCATCTGTCAAAGCCCACTTATGCCTAGGTCCAAATTTTTCTTCCTTTCTAGGGTTGATAAATCGTTGTGATTAACTAGAGAGCCAAAAATTTCTGGAGAGAAAAAGATCAGGATACAAGAAGTTGCACGTAAGGTCTAAGTTGGATTTAGATTCATTACATTGGACTTACATCTCATATAGTTAATTTAGGCCACATCCTTACAAATTCATATGACAAACGCTAAGAATCTTTGTAGGCATAGCTTGTGAGAAAAAGGAATCAAAAAGATGAAAAAAGACCCTAGAAAAAAAGCTTTAACCTCAATACTGCCCTAAAATTTTTATGGGATATTCGGGGCCCTTAAAGCCCTAGTTAAATATGAGGTGAGGAAAACACCCAAACTGACAGAAAATTTCTCAAGTAAGTTTTGAATTGAAAGTAACTGTGGGCAACAGCTTTATGAACTGCTACTAAAACCCACCCAACACTGCAGGAAGTATTCACATCTATGTAGGATTCAAAGGCTCAGAATGAGCATTGTCATAACTAAAGCTTGTGCGAAATTGTAGACAGGTAACAAGTGCTCAGTAATAAATGTTCTAAAGCTATACCAAGCCTTGCCCCTTGTTGGGACGCGATCTATCAGTGTGCAGCTCCCATTATGGAGAAGTGGGTGGCTCTGAAAAGAGCCTTTGGGTTATAGGCAGCAGCCAGGGGCGCTCACTTGGAGCTGGTGTACTTGGTGACAGCCTTGGTGCCCTCCGACACGGCGTGCTTGGCCAGCTCCCCGGGCAGCAGCAGCCGCACGGCAGTCTGGATCTCCCGCGACGTGATGGTGGAGCGCTTGTTGTAGTGCGCCAGGCGCGACGCCTCGCCGGCGATGCGCTCGAAGATGTCGTTGACGAAGGAGTTCATGATGCCCATGGCCTTGGACGAGATGCCCGTGTCGGGGTGCACCTGCTTGAGCACCTTGTACACGTAGACCGAGTAGCTCTCCTTGCGGCTGCGCTTGCGCTTCTTGCCATCCTTCTTCTGCGCCTTGGTGACGGCTTTCTTGGAGCCCTTCTTGGGGGCAGGCGCCGACTTCGCTGGCTCAGGCATACTGACTACAGTCTTTGCAGGCCGACTGGAGAATGAGTGCGAAGCAGTGAGATTTTTCCCTATTTGTAGACAATGGTATGCAAATGAGGACTTGAATTTTCCTGCTTCTGATTGGTTATTTCTAGCATGGTACGTATGCAAAAACAGGAGTCTAAGTGAATCTCTCATTGGCCAAATCCTTGAGCCAGTCCCTCCCCCCAGTCAGGCCAGTTTTTTCAACAAATAATATCTTTTCCAAAGTAAATTTCTGTATTTCACAGCAATTTAGTTATACTTATCAGATATTACTTTCTCCTATGTTTTGAAATGTCCGGCAGGCAAAACTCGCGGCCCAGATATCTCCACGATTCGTTTAAAAGCTCTTGGAAGAGCAATAAAAATTTTAGCTTTCAGTCTAGATTCTAGACCAATGGCAGGAAAGGGAGAAGTGAGATCGATTTTCGCCCGCAGTTAGGCAGACAGCCTCCTGACAGTGTTGGTTTTCTCCTGCTGTGCCCAGAAAACAGATAAGGGTGAAAAGGAAAAGTACCAGATCCCGGAGAGGTAGCAAGATATTTGCGCAGAGATAACCAGAGAAAAGATTTAGCCAACATTGTTCTTCCTTCTCAGAGGAAAAGAGCGAATTCAGCCTTCATTAACCACAGACCGGAAAGTGGACAAATACCCAACCAAATTATCCAACCTAACCAGTCAAAAGATGAAAAGAAAGAGTGTAAAATTCTTTTTCTTTCTTTCTTTCTTTCTTTCTTTCTTTCTTTCTTTCTTTCTTTCTCTCTCTCTTTCTTTCTTTCATTCATTCTTTCTTTCTTTCATTCTTTCTATCTTTTTTAAATAGAAGATGCCTTTTAAGGGGATTTCTTCCGTTCTGAAATTTTCCTTCTACCGTGTCCTTCCATGGTCCTTTTTCTAGATCCTCCTGCTGTGTCCTCTCAGTCTCTCCTGCTGGGTTTTAGGTCCCTAGGGGGAGGAGTCGCTTGTTGGAAAGATTTCTATAGGGAATATTTAACTTCAAGGGATCACTAAGGAGTTGAATTGGAGGCCCAGAAAAATCTGTTCATACAAATGTTATAAACCAAGCCTGATGTAGTTTTCCACTGTCAACTTCCTTATCCTAAGCCCTTAGTTTCCTGGTTTCATAATTTGCTGCACTTTATCTAAATTAATGTACATGTGAGTGTGATACAAATGGCTTTTTTGGTTATTTTTCCCTAAGGATTCATGTACATGTAAAATTTACTAAATCGTGTATTCTTTTCTCCTGCTAATGTGTTCTGTGACACTTTAACTCTTAGGCTCAGCCAAAGACCATGAAGAAGATACAAAATAAAAATTTCCAACATTATATATGTATTGTGAAAAATGAATAGCCTATGTCTTTTCATATATAATTAACAGGTTGGATCTGTACACAATTTTGATTTTTTTTTGCTTCATTTTTCTGATTGATTAGATATTTAAAGCTATTTCTTATTTAGCTCCTTAAAGGTGGGTCATAAGCATTGATTATCACTAAAGCTACAAATATGTACATGTGTGTATGGTGTGGAGTACCGGGAATCAAATTGACGGTATCATGATAGCCAGGCAGGAAATGTGCCACCGAGCTAAATCCCAGGCCCCTAGAGGTTTGTTACTTTGTCATTATTTAACTGGCTCTTATGCTTATTTTTTTGAACTTTTTTTAACTTACTTTTCTGAACATGCCTCTGATTTTCTTAACTGTAGTCTTGCGTAATCATGCTTTGCTTTGGTGGGTCTGCATCCCAGGGACTTTTTCCATAGAAGTAACTCAATATAACTGCTTTCTTTCTGCTACAGTCTTGCTATTCGGTTGTGGTCCCTGGACCAGCATTAGCAAGTCATCCATAAATTTAGAAATGGAGTCCAGTGTAGATGTACATACACTATATCCTAAAGTCAATTCCCAGGTGTTCTGGACTGGCACTGCAGTGTGAGAAGTGCTGCGCTAGGAGATGTGTGGATCTGTCGTGCTGCTGCTTTTGTCCTTTCTTTCTGAGGAGGTTCTAGTGGCAGAGACACTATAGAATATATATATATATATATATATATATATATATATATATATATGGAGAGAGAGAGAGAGAATCAAAGGACATATTTCCTTCATTCTTCCTCTATCCCACATTTTTTCCATTATGCCTTTTTCATTCTTCTTTCCTCCTTATATATGTATTTTGAAAAATGAATATCTTTTCAGATATATATCAAATGTAAAAATTTATATAAGCATTTTTATTTTACTTATTAATGTACATTTCAGCAATATCAGTTGTTAATTTAATAATTGAGAATTTCATAATTTTCAAAAGACTCCTATCAAGAACCAAAGCTTCAGAGTTTAGACAATATCCAGTCATTTTGGACATGACATTTTCTTTCAAAAAGGAGGCCAAAATTTGACCCGACTGAAATTTCAGCTCCTCCATGAGATTTCATGCCAAAACGAATATCTATTTGTACAAATGTATATGATCAGTGTTAAGGCACAATGCCCAGAAACCCAAGATCTCTTTAGTCTGACCTGCTGTCAGTTTCAGAAAAATATAACCAATAAAATGAGAGTACTAATTCAAAAAAGCTTTATTATGTGCCCCATAATCATTTGGATTCAATCCAAGGTCTTATTTCTGCTAAGCAAGCACCATAACACTGAAATAATTCCTTTTCATTTTCATCTTGAGGCATGGTCTTGTTAAGTTACCCAAAGAGACTCAAACTTGTTCGTGGCCCTTTTAACTCTGCCTCTGAAGTAAGGACTACAGGTGTGGATCCCCATATCCAACTATAAGTCATCTTTGTTTTTTAGCTACAACCATCTTTCATAACTATTGGGCTTACAGGATTTAAATCATGAATCTAAAGGGTCAGTCAACTAATTTAAAGGTGTACATCATATATAAATGAATTTGGCTTGTATGTGACACTGAAAAGTGGAGAGAATAGACCCGAAGTGCAATTATTTCATTCCTAAATAAATTTGGTGAAATATAATGTACACAAAGCAAACACAATAACCCAAGCATTATGGCAAATAAGATTTAGGAAAACGAGAGATTTTCTTCAGGTTACTGATGAGTAACGCACTAATATGGTATGAGGAGTGTGACTATCATGTAAAGATTTGCAAGTTTCACACAGGTCATGCAAGATAAAATTTTCCTTTTATAGAAAACAGTGAAAAAGATTGGAAGGCTTTGAGTGAGGAGAAGTAGGAAGAAAAAAAAATCACCTTATTGGATGTATAATAGATCAAAGAATGTTTTACCCTAAAGCCACTCCTGTGCAGTAACTCTTAAGCAGGATATTTTGGTTCAGGCAGAGTGGAGGCAAAAGTTCAAGCACCTGGGGAAAGGAGATACTTTAATTTTTGGCTAAGAAACATACTTTTGCAGGGTGTGATAGTGCATGCCAGTAATCACAGCACTTAAGGAAGGCAGGAAGATCATTGTGAGTTGAAGGGTAGCCTAGGTTACAATAGTGTGTTTAAAAACAATCACTTGGTTAGATGGATAATATTTAATAGATCAAAGAATGTTTTACCCTGAAGCTGCTCAACAGTGACTCTTCATCAGGGTATTTTGGTTCAGGCTGAGGGTAGGCAAAAGTTCAGGTGCTGGGGAAAGGAGATATGTTAACTAACTTTTGGTTAGGAAACGTATTTTTGCAGGGTGTGGTGGTCCTTGCCTTTAATCCCAGCACTCAAGGGAGGCAGAGGCAGGAGGATCACTGAGTTGAATGGTAGCCTATGTTATAAAGTGTGTTCAAAGGTTAACATAGATAACACAGTGAGTCCCTGTTTCAAAAAACAAACAAACATTTTGTTTTGTTTGTTTATTTTTTAATGCCAGTACGGAAAAGCAATCTACCTAATTGGTTATGAGGAACTTGGAGTGTCTATGTTTGAAAATGTATTGTTATAGGTGAAAAAGAACACTCATAAGAGATTTTTTTTGTCCTTTGAGTTTCTCCCAGCAAGCCATTTTCAGAACAACAACAAAGGTAAGGAGATTTCTTTATTTGTTGCTGTTTTCCTGGAGCACAGTACTTACATCAGATTGCGTACAATATTTTCAATTGCAATTAATAACAACACATGATGAATCTGATGTTTATAAAGTAGTAACACATTTGGTTTCATTTTAATGTAATATAGAATTGTTGAACTACATCAGATATTTATAATAACATGTTGTATACCATGAAGATTTTTGTCCAGGTCAAGGTTCTAAATGAATCTTGTTCTAAAACTCTTTGTTACAGTGATCACTTGGTAAGGAACTAATGGGTAGAAACTAGATCCCAAGACTATTAAAAGTCAGAAGTTGGCCACTGTATTTTCTTTGATACCTTTTTTTTCCCCAGTAAAAATTAACTCCAAATTTAAAGCTGACTTTTTTTCAGGAAAACATAAACTTCAAAGTAATAGGAAATATTAACTTAAGTATGGCATAAGTATTTTGCTGAATGACTTTGATCTCATGAAAGAAAATTTTATGTTTTTTTCTTTTCCAGAAAAATATATCAGTACTGAAATATGTACGGTGTATTTTAACGATATGTTTACTTTTAAATAAAAAAAATATTCAATCAACTCTATTTAATTTCTTATTTCAAATTAGAATTGCTAAAATATATTAATTAAATATTAACAAATATATTGGTCTTAAGAAAAACTATACATGGAACGAAAAATAATATAACAAAAGATGAACAAAAAAAGGAAAATATTTATCAAGAGAACCCAAGTGCAGACACGGTAAGGTTTTATTTGCAATGAAGAAAAGATTTTGGGAAGCTATTGTGAAGCAAAACACCTAAGGATACCCATCACCACATCTCTGCTCAGCTAACAAAAAACAAATTGGAAAATTTTCTGAAACTTCCTTACAATAAAAACCTAGGGGATGAAACTAAAGTGGTAAACAAAGTTTACAACAGCTACAGAGCCTTCGACCAAATACTGTTAGTAGAAAACTGTGAACTTTGGAAATTAATGTATGCCCTCTGAGAAGGAGAATTCTAGGGTCTTACAAACAATTAAGTTACCTAGCACAAATGGAAAACTCTCCAAAAATGCATTAAATAGGAGGAAAAAAAAAACATATAGCAATACAGCAACAAAATCTGCTTGTCTCTGCAAGGTTTTGCAGAGGAGGTATGGCTTGCATCTAGATGTACTGCCAAAGCCTCATGCAGTCAAAATTGGGACTTTGAAGAGGTGGCTGAATCTAGGATGTACAATGCTGATATTAAGTGTGTGATGCTGGACATTAAAGGTGTGTGATTACTAAATTACTCTGCTGGTTGGTTTGGTATAGTTTTGGGTGTTGATAATGAGAAGGCCCACTGTGTGTGTGAATGCAATCACTTAAGCACCGGTAGCCTGGAAGAGATAAAAGGGAGAGAAAGGCTGTGCTGAGGCTTTCCTAGCTACTTTGCTGCTTTGTTGTCTTCCTGCTCTGGCCTGCCACAAACTGCTTCTCCTTTCTGATGCCTCTTTGCTATGCCACCTTGCCTTGGATCCAGCCAACTATCAACTGAAACTTCCACAAATGGTTAGCCAAAATAAATCCTTTCTTTTTATAGTTGGGTGTCTGATATTTTAGGTACAAGAAAAGTAACTAAGACAGGAGAGGAAAGGGAGTTTGCTCTTAAATTTAATCCTAGATTTGCTCAGACTTTGGTTTTCACTGAAATGGTTCTCAGATTAAAGTGATGCGCGTTCCTATCGCCACCTAGCGTCTTAAAAGACAAATTCTTTCTCCGGAGATCCAGAACCTTTAAAATGATGTGGCCTGGGACTGCAGTTCCTTTGAAGTGGGAAGCATCTGGAACCTTAAACTCTCTAGATGGACACAGGTTTATTTATTCATTAAGTGTTTATTCTTTTAGCACTATACCAGACTTGAAAACAGTACTTGATTTAAAAAAGAAGAAAAATTATTTACTAAAAGACAATTTGAATACAGAATTCATGATTAATAGGCAGTCAAAAAAAACCCCAAAACAAAACAACAAAACTCCTCTGTGCCCTAGAATACACATAATGACAAGCCCAGTTGAATTTTACAAGTTTTGGTGAATTTTAGGGACTCAGTAATCTTTATTTTACAGAATCAATAGAAAAATAGTTCTTTTTTGTTTTGATATTATGTAACCTTATTCTAAACTGGAGGACAACAGAAAAGAAAACAAGAGAAAGAGACAGAGAGAGAGAGAGAGAGAGGGAGAAGGAGAGAGAGAAGTGAAGAGAAGAGAAGAGAAAGTAAAGGACAGGAAAGGAAGTAAGAGTCCCACCTCATTTATAAAGATTCATTTTAAAAAGTCCTATTTAAAATGTTAGGAAATGTAAACAGGACATTTGCTTTAAAAATAGTTTATTATGTAGAGTTTATTGTAACAGAAACATTTAGTATTATAAATCTCCAAACATAAGGGACTAATAGATACAAACTGTGCTCATCTTCATAAATGCTAGGAAATATATAATGGAATATAAACTTAGTCTTCATAACCATTTTAAATAGATTAGGAGGAGAACTTCACAAAGCATAGCTAGAAGGAGAATAACACTTAATGGTGTAAATTTGAAAGAAGTCTCATAGAAGCAGAAGCAGGCCTGGAGGCTGTGGCACTACTGCTATTCTGTGTGGCAGCACAGAGTCCTGAAACATGGACAGGAAGAAAGAAAGGAGAGATTAAATAATAGAAGATGATTAATTTTGCTTTTGAAAATAATATAGCTGCCAGTGTTAAAGTTCATGAGAATTTATTAGCAATCAGATCTAATAAAAGAACTCAATAAAGGTGTTAGGTATGAGACCACCATGTAAAAAATTATGGTCTTTCTATATATTAGCAATCACCTATATGAAAATAGCTAGAAAAACCAGACATTATGTACAACAGGACTAAAGATTCTAAATACAATTGGCTGGATGTGGTGGTACACATCTGTAATCTCAGCATTCACACAGGCTGAGGCAGGACGATCATCATAAATTCAAGCCTGGCCCGAACTACATAGCAAGACGCTGTCTCCAAAACAAGCCAACCGACAAACCCAAAAACCACAACAAAATATCCCACCAAAACAAATAAACAAAAAATAAAATCCCAAAATGAGACTCTAAATATGAGAATAAATATTCCATATCTATATAAAATATCAGATTTTATTGAAGGACAAAAAATCCATATAGTAGAATATATAGTAGTCCATATAGTAGAATATATACCCTTTCTCTATGATATATATATATATATATATATATATATAATATTTGATGATTCAACATGGTAATATGTTCACACATTGCAAAACAAGCTAAAAATTTGTTGTAACACCAAGCTTTTGGACATATTTGGTAGGCTCTTTTGTAACATTCATATTAGTGAATAAAACCAGTTAAAATGATTTTCAAAAAGGAAGAAGATAGTAGTGTCTTAAATTAGATGAACACATATAAATTTACAGTGATTAAAGGAATGCCATTGGCTCAGATGTAGACAGCAGGGAAACAGAGCACAGTTGTGGATCTTTGCTGTTCCCTAAGAGCCTCTTTTACTGATATTTTCTGGTTGTGAATAGTTCTTCACCAAGTGTTTTCAGTCCTTTGAGTCTTAGCTTCTGTATCCTTGGAGACGTGTCAGGGGTATGAACATTAAACTCAGCTCAATTTACACTGTTCACAAAAGTAACTCAAGATTGGGTGCTCAGATTGGTGAGTGCTTTCAATACAGAATACACAGGCTTCCTTTATATAAATATGGTGTTCTATTGGGAACCACAAATTGTGGCTAATTTTGCATACTTCCCTACAGGATAAAATGGAGGTTCCAGATTATAGGTAGCACCCATCTGAGATTTCCTGATGATTTTTCTTAGCTTAAAACCATCTACATCCCCTTGAGTCAGCCCAGGATTATACTCTAAGACAAGATCTCTCTTAGCATACAACCATTTATGCCCTTTTGAATCGTCCCAGGATTATTCTTGCTCATTGAGTCATAAACCTCTGAGACTTCTGCCAAATTTGAATCTTTCACTAGCCCCACGTATCACTGCGTACACCCAGTAAATTGTGACTGTTTTGGAGTACTGGGGGTAGACCTTCTGGGGGCATCAGCTTCCCAGCAACTCAACTATTACTAAACTTGTCTCTGTTTTGTATTTTATCCTCTAAACATAGATTTAACAGACAATCGGGGCTCTTCTCTGCGTCCCTAATGGTGTTCAGTGTCAAAGTAACACATGATAAATCCCTGCAGAAGAGATGGGTGGTAGCTGAAGTTATGCACATAGGAGAGAATACCTGTGTAGCATTACACTGGGGGTAGGTACGGCAGAAGAGGAGAAATGTCAGTATCTTGTGAGAAGTGACTTTTTTAGGGGTCAGATTAACATGCTACTTGGATTAATTCCTTAGAATCATAAAGAGATAATATTTGTACTGTGATGTTAAGAAATTCCAGCTGACTTCCCTGGCACAGAAGGCACCGGCAATTTGTTAGCTATAAAATATCGAGTAAGTTATTTCAAGATTCATTTGATACACTCATAGGTAAAAATGGAACAGTGCACAGGTGCATTGTGAAAATTAAATATGTGAACATCTGAAAAGCACTTGAAATATGTCTGGGCATTTACTTTAAAAAAGAAAAGTAAATAAAAGTAACTCTGAAGAATGATCTGCTATGTGCACGAACAGCCACAGTACTTTGTTTGTATCCAAAGTACTTTCGCCTTCGTGGGTCTCTTCCTCTATTAAAATAATGTAGAGCTTAATATATACTAAAACATTTTTTTGATCTTTTCATTCTTTTATTATTTTGGAAAGAAATTAAATATTTTTAATATTTAATTTCGCATGTTTCCAAATGATAGTGTCCTAGGAAGACACGATTGTGCCTGAACATAGATTTAAGTGCATATGTAGGTGTTCAATTAGGGCATAACTATCCACACACATGCATACATAACATAATCCTCACACCAACTGCATATTGCCAGCAAGTGTCCCTGGTATTATGAAGGATGTCCCCAGCTACTGAGAGAGAGGAAATGTCTGTCCCTAACAGAGCAAGGAGGTGCAAAAACATACAAGGAGGATAGAGCTGCAACTTCTTGCTTCACTCCTTAAAGGTTTCAGTCAGCCGAGAAAGGCTATAAGTGGAGCAAATAAGCTGACGGTGGGTCGTTGCCCTGCTTTTCGTTCTGTGGCTTGAGGTGCACACTGGCTTGATGGTGTTTGTACACTCCTTTGTTTAGTGGTCGTGCTAAATCAGGGGGACTTAGAAGGTGGGGTCGTTGAGTCATCAGGGGCGCCCGCAGGCGACGTTACTTTATAAAGATATTAGCGAGTCTGCAGAGCAGCCAGAGAGGCGTAACGTGACGGGTGCTTAAGGAGTGACAACACGTTCCCCTCGTTAGGGGTCGTAGTGAGAGGGCCCCTGGAGCGCATCCGGCAGCAGGAACCACCAGACTTAGCAGACAACTGTTAATGAGGCTGCATAGCAGGATGGCCGCCTCTGAGAGTCGGCGTGGAGAGGTGTGGCGATATAGCCCTATCAGAGAACCAGCGTAAGGGGGCGTAGCAAGACGGCCCTATCAGAGAGCCGTTGAGGCGGGCCCTCAAGGTTGTTGCTAGGCTTGGGTAGTCTCAACAGGAGGAGTCTTGTCTGATCTTTCTCTGTGCTCTCAAGTCCATTTTAAAGATACAGACTTTAAGGGTTTGTGTGATTATTTGGTATTAGCAGTTAAGGTCAACTTCATGTCCCATCCACATGTCCTCAGACCAGCAGCACTGGCATCGCCTAGGAAGGTTATAAATACAAACTATCACGTCCTCCTCCAGACATAATGAATCAGAAGCTATGCAGGTGCACCCAGCAGTTTGTTTATAAAAATTTTTCAGGAAATTTTGGTGCACATGCCTTTGTTTGTACTAAACTTGAGTGTTCACCAAATACTACACCAAGGTATTGTTTCCTTTATTTCAGATACACGAAGTGAATTCAAAAAGGTAACAGGTAAATTAAACTGTTTTACCATCAGGATCAATACTGGAGCCCCAAAGTGCTTAGGACTTAACTCAGGCTTTGAATGCAGAGAATAATGTGAAGCTAGATAGGCACAGACATGGATGGATGAATAGACAGAGAAAGAGTAGATTGTATAATAAAGACTCAAACTAACCATGAAACCAGACTTCTAATTCTTTACACGTTTCATCAGTCATGTTTAATTTACAGACATTCTGCTGTGCTCTCATGCAAACTCTTGTGGGAAGCTTAGTCCATGGTAAATAATCAATTCTAGTAACTAGTAAAAGAAATAAAAATTCCAACTGAACATGTTGATGCATATCTGTAATTTATGCATTTGGGAGGCTGAGTCAGAAAGAATTCAAGGGCAAGTTTGCAACACTTGTCTAAAATAATAATAATAATGTATATCCTATTTTTATAAATCAAACAAAAAGTAAAAAGCTGCAACATCTTGTTTAATCTTTTGTGCTCAATTAATTATCCTTTTGATGAACCAACGTGCTGAAAACCACGATAGGTTAAATTTGTGTAGGATATACACACTAGTCAATCATTCTTATACAGATGAGACTTTTCATATTTTATAACTTCTATGGACAGATAGATATTTTCACTTACTTTATGAATTAACATTTTGTCTGTATTCATAAGTATTTCTTCTGATTAAAGAAATAAAAATGTATTTTAGGAGTCATTTTATCATCAGTAATATTTTCTATATAGAAAAGAGAATAGTTTTTACACATGTCTGCATAATGATCTACCATTAAATCTCCACACCTTTTTTTTTTTTTTGCATTTTTGACAGAAAATTTCACTATGCATTTCAGACTGGCTTTGAGCTCATTCTGTAGCCCAGGCTGGCCTTGAACTCATAGCAATCCTCTTGCCTCAGCCTGCAGAGCACAAGGATTACAAGCATGAACCACTACACACATCTTAATGTTACCTTTACTTCACTCATTATTAGCATTAACAAATAATAGCTTAAATCATGTTTAATGAAAAGACTCTAAATATTATGACTTTACTCTGATCTCCCTTGGTATCTTTAGGAATCATTCAAATAGTTTAAAATCTCATTTATTGCCTTTAGTTTTTGACCTGAAGAGATGTGGCAGCCAACAATAACTGCTTTTCATTTCAACTCAGTGAAAAGAGAAATACAGTAATTGATAACACTTGATATCTGTAAGTGCTCACTAGTTGTCTATCATTTGAAAATTTATGTGAATTATCTCAAAGCTTAAAATATTCCTAAAAAAGAAATCTATTATTATTATCCTCTTAATACAGATGAGGTAAATGAAACCTTTTTTCTGGTCACTCATTCAGCTGAACCATTGTGACCTCAACATTTTCTTCTACCCCTGTTGCTATAGACATATATGCACTTTAAACAGTTAGTTATAACTCCTTGAAAATAGATTTTGAACATCTTCTCTAGGTACAGAATGCTTTAAGCATTAGGGATCCTAAAAAAAAGATGAAGTCCTCCTCTTGTAGATGAGAAGCAGAGGCAAAAAGTAGACAAATAAATTGTTTATTAATAGTGACTATAATTAAGATGAATGAATAAAGAATGGATAGAAGGATGTGATTTTTCATATGACAC